CAGGATGTTATGGGAGCGCACTACAATGGTAAACAAATCAATGATGGTAAAATTAAAAAAAAATAAGATTCAACTTTTGCAGCATTCTGACGCTCAATATTAATCCTTGGGACACATTTTTAACGCGTTTTTGAGAAAGGTCTCAAGAAGTACTGCATTCAATTGGTTCGGAAGGACATGGCAAGGGCTCACAAAAAAGGACTTCACACACACCGGAGCTATTAACGAATAATCACTTCAAAGTTCATTTTATCCGCTCCCGAAGAACAGTACTTTGTTGCCAAGAGCACCGCCAACAAAACACAGCAAAGACAAATTAGTTTTCGAATTTTAAGAATATGCCACGTAGCTCTAGCATACTTTGTGAACCGAGAGGATGACAGGAGTGCACGATAGGGTCAGTGTATGCCCCAGTGACTATTGCGCCTCGAGGCCAAGTCCTAATACTTATGAATGACAAAAACAGAGCCATCTACTTCTTTGCTCGTTACTGTCTCAGTGTAAATTAAGTGCAGCGAAAGAAATGGAGACATGTTTGCCCACCGAAGAGTCACCAGGCCCAGAGGTGACTCGCAAGCAGGAGAGCTTTTCGAGTAAATTGTCGGCGGCGTCGGAGGTGGAGAAGAGGGCAAACGAAGAGGAAAGAGTGGAGGAGGGAGCAAAGCAAAGAGTGACCAATCGGGCGATGACAAAGAGTCCTAGTGCCTGAGTCTTTGGTCCCACAACATGTTGGGCGTCACCCACCACGCCCACCACAGCCGCCTCCAAGGCCTAGGGTAAATTCAAAATGTTAATGCAGACACACCCGGTGAAATTAAGCACTCAATACATTCTGCCCAAGTTGCTGTTGCAAGTCTGGCTTCCCTCATCAAATACCTGTAAACATGAAGGGGATTGTGAAGCTTGCAAAATTATAACAGAAAAATGAACGATGAGTTCTGAGTAAAAAAAACTTGGTTAGAAGCTTACGTGCTCAGAATGCGGTTGGAGGTTAACCAGGTATGAAGAGTATTGAAAAATCTGACTAACACTGACACTAATAGATTATCGAACTAGATGAGGATGGCAGGTAACAATGACAGTTTGTCAAAAAATATCAACTGAAAAACGCTTGTATTTAAGTTATTTTTTTGTTATTAAAATATGATCAAACGCATCCCCATATAAACTCGATTACATGAACAAAGAATGAGGCGAGAAGCTTCTCACCTTTACAATAGGAGACAATATACCCAATAAAACAAACAGCACAAAATCCAAATCCAGAAGGCAAACTAATCGGCGTATGAAGGAACACAAAACTTGCAAAATCGCCTCTACTTTTGATGGACCTCAAGCACTGAAATTGCAGCAACTCTAAGAAAGGTTAAGCACCATGTATGACATTTGGGTGAGGGATGATACAAAACAAGAAAAATTTTAAACAAATATACAGATTTCGACTTTAGGTTAGGTGGACCCTAATACATGGGGTTTGACAAAGCTTACATCCGAGGCGTAGTCAGTAATAAGACTGTCGGGAAGGAGCGAAGATAAGCGTAGGTAGCCATGAAGAAAAGCCTCTAAAAAGGAATGCGGTGATTTTTCATCCAAAATATGTGCAAGTTTGAAGGCAATACTATCGGGTTTGAGAAATCGTTACCAAGCGTGTACTGCATAATAATATAAAAGCACGCATTACTTATGAAGTCGTTCAAAAAGCAACACCTAGGGACCAATTCCCGAGGGACAGAGATCGTGGGTAGCAAAAAATTTCTATTACTTTCAAGGTCGTAAAAGTGCAAACATCGCGATTTCACAG